ACAAAGCAGAATCTACGTATTTCAGTGCCCCAACTCATTCTTTTACATCTATTGATCTGTCTCTTTGCGATCCGACATTATTTCCTTTGTTTTCCTGGGCTGTCGATCCTAACCCCTATGGGAGCGATCACTTTCCTATCATTCTGAACCGACTACATCCACCTGTTACAGTGCCTACACGAACTCCCCGTTGGAAGTTTGAGGAAGCAAACTGATCTGTCTTCAGCCAAGCAACCCAGCTCGCTTGTACATCGCTTAACAAACTGTCTATCGATGAACTCACCAATTTGCTTAGCGCCCACATCCTCAATGCTGCAATTTTAGCTATCCCTATGACTTCATCTCGCTTACCCCGCCGCCCTAAACCATGGTGGAATGCCGACTGTGAAAAATCAAGAAAAAAGCAGAACAGAGCATGGGGCATATTTAGACGTTACCCAACAGTGACTAATCTCATCAGTTTCAAGCGGATGAAGGCTCATGCGAGACACATCCGCCGCGTCTCACAGCGTCAAAGTTTCCAAGGTTATGCTTCCTCTATTAACAGCACTGCCACCATCAAGGAAGTTTGGGATAGAGTGCATAAAGTCAATGGGCATTACCGGGCTTACTCAGTACCGCTTCTTTCCGAAAACGGACTGTGCCCTGAGAGCCTAGAAGAACAGGCAGATCTCCTTGGAAAACACTTTGAACGTGTCTCTAGCTCTCAGAATTGTTCATCTGCATTTCTGAAACACAAGAGACAAGCAGAACTCCAATCCGTGCGGGCATCCGGCGGAGCTCGAGAAGCATACAACTTAACTCTCACACTGAATGAACTGGAACGGGTACTTCATGAAACTAAACCTACATCTGCTGGACCAGATGGAATTCACTTCCATATGCTTACTCACCTTCACCCTTCCACACTCGACATAATTTTGTTTTTGTTTAATCGCATTTGGCAGGAGAGTACATTTCCATCGTCTTGGAGAGTAGCAACCGTCATTCCTTTTCTTAAGCCTGGAAAGGATGCATCGTGTGCATCCAGTTACCGCCCAATAGCGCTAACAAGCTGTCTTAGCAAAACTCTGGAGAGAATGCTTAATAAGCGACTCGTGTACTTTTTAAAAAAAGAAAATATTCTTGATAAATATCAGTGTGGCTTCCGTTCGTCACGATCTACATTGGATCATCTTGTCCGCTTGGAGTCTACCATCCGTGAGGCCTTCGTAAATAAACAGTACTGCCTCTCTGTCTTTTTCGATTTAGAAAAGGCTTACGACACTGCCTGGCGGCATGGCATCCTACAAGATATGTATAGCTATGACATTCGAGGCAGGATGCTAGCATTCGTAAAGAGCTATTTGGCGATACATACCTTTCGTGTCAAATTAGGCACTACCTACTCTCGAGAATTCTGCCAGGAAAACGGTGTTCCCCAAGGAGGCGTATTGAGTGTCACCCTTTTTATAATAAAAATAAACTCGATAGCCCGGGCCATCCCATCATCCGTACAGTATTCACTTTATGTTGATGATCTTCAGATATCCGTCTCATCCTGTAACATTGCTCTCTGTGAACGTAGGGTCCAATTAGCAGCAAACAATCTGCTCAAGTGGGCTGATCAAAATGGCTTTAGGTTTTCACCAGAAAAAACAGTTTCTGTTTGCTTTTCTCGCTTACGAGGAGCTACAGTAGATCCATCGGTGACCATGCACTCCACTCCAATTCCAACAAAACCGGAGCAGAGGTTCCTAGGGCTTATTTTTGCTAGTAAACTGTCCTTTCTTTCTCATATTAGGCATCTTAAGGTAAAATGCCAGAAAGCACTAAACATTCTTAAAGTCCTTTCTCATACCTCATGGGGCTCTGATCGTCTCTGTCTTCTCCGAATTTACAGTTCGGTGGTTCGCTCACGCCTCGGCTATGGTAGTTGTGTATATGGATCGGCAAGGCCCTCAGCTCTTCGAATGCTTGACCCCATTCATCACCAGGGATTGCGACTGTCTACAGGTGCATTTCGCACGTCGCCTATCCCCAGTCTTTATGCAGAGACAAATGAATGGTCTCTGGAAAAGCGAAGGTTTGCTTTGGGATTTATGTATTCCCTTCGAATACGTTCACTCACCCTGCATCCTACACGCGAGGCTGTAGAAGAAACAAGATATAAGCGCACCTTTGACAACAAGCCCTCTGTAATCCCGCCTTTTAGTATGAGAAATGCAGCTGTAGCTGATTCAGTTTGACTGAGCACTACAATGCCCGTGACCCCCGTACCTCAAGCAATAGCTCCGTGGGAATATAGCCTCATTTTGTGTGACTTTTCACTAAGTTCAGAAAGAGAGACACCCCACCAGAATGTATCAAACAGGAATTTTATGAAATTCAAAGTAGATACGCTGGTCACAGCTCGTATTACACAGATGGCACCAAGACAGAAACGTTTGTTGGATGTGCTATGGTTGGCCCCTCTGTTCGCTATGTTCAACGAATTGCATATACAGCTACTATTTTAACAGCTGAACTATGTGGTATCCGCCTGGCAGTTAATCATATTATAGAAACGAAGAGCATGAAGTCAGTTGTGTATACTGATTCACTCAGTTCATTGAGAGCGCTCTCATCACTAAATACCTCTAAATACCCAATAATCATAGAGTTGCAGAATAAAATCATTGATGCTTCCAAAAGGAACATTAAAATAGTCTTTTGCTGGGTCCCTAGCCATGTTGGTATACCGGGTAATGAGGAAGCAGACCTTGCAGCCAGTTCTGCTGGTGACAAAGAAGTCGAACTGCATGACATTCCATATAAAGACTATCACAGACTTTTAAGGCATCGTATAAGAGAGAAGTGGCAGCAAGAATGGGATGAAGAAGTAAATAACAAGCTGCATACTGTAAAGCCACTGCTTAGTGAGTGGGAGAGTGCAAGACACCGTGAACGCTTTTATGAGGTTGTCCTGTGTCGGCTAAGGATAGGGCATACGCACCTCACCCATGGCCACCTTCTGCGCAGGGACGAAGCCCCAGAGTGCGAGCACTGCAATAATCCTTTAACTGTCGCACACATATTAGAATGCCCTGCTTATGACCTAGACCGACGGAGACATTTTTCTCAGCTATATAAAGAACATACGCCTTTAAACCTTCCTATTTTGCTTGGCAACGAACCATTAGTTCCGCATCACAGCGTTTTTAGCTTCTTGAAAGCTATCGGCCTTTTACACCGACTATGATTTTACACCCAACTTCGTGTCCATAACTACTTGCAAGTCATACACATAATTTTAACCTATCATCAACTACTAAAGTTCTATCCTCTTCGAAACCCTATCTGCAATAGTGTATGTACATGGCGCATCATAGCCTAAGATGCTTTTGCGCCATAAAACCCCAACCAACCAACTAGTTCTAAAATTACGTGCTTTCCAAGCATCTCGGCGATCTGTCTCGTACCACTTCCCGGGAAACGAATAAAACTTCACCAGAGGAACTTTTCCCTTCGTGTTGGCCTCGCTGTTGTGGCAGTTCACCACGCAACAATACCTGCTGTTTCTTCTACTCTTCGACGCTATATTCTCCATCGCGTGAAGCGTACAAAACATGCACGCCTCCAGGACCGTCTGCTTCGCTACTTCTAAATAAAACGGCCACCCCTCCCCAAAGGAGGATGTGGCGCTGCGTATGCGCGGCGAAACTTCAGCCGAACAGGCCTATAGACTGGATTTCGAATTTTCTTTTCAATCGCTCGCAAAGTGTCTGTTATGATTACAAATCTTCATCGCATCAGAAAGTAAAATCGGGAGTGCCGCAGGGGACCGTGCTGGGTCCATTGCTCTTTCTTTTGTACGTGAATGATATTTTCAACCATCCGTTTGTACGCTGATGATTGTGTGGAAAATATCTTGCATTAGTGATTGCATTCAACTTCAAAATGACTTGATTACCCTAGAAACATGGTGTAAAAAGTGGCAAATGCAAATCAACATCTTAAAAACAAAATTCTTAAACTTCAACACTAAGCGAAGTGCCACAGTGTTTAGTTACTCTCTTTTTAATACACCCATTGAACATGAGCACACCTACAAATATCTTGGGGTTCATTTCACGTCAAACTTATCATGGGAAGCTCATATTAATCACATCGTTGTAAAGGCAAACCAAAGCCTCGGTTTTTTGAGACGAACACTACATATGGCTAACCGGGAGACAAAACTCGTAGCTTACACTGCCCTTGTTCGCCCGCAGCTCGGGTATGCATCTACAACATGGAACCCCCACCAGGCTTACCTAATACAGAAATTAGAGTCCATCCAAAGCAGGGCAACTCGGTTAATTCTTAAAAACTACACACAGACTAGCATTACTACGCTAAAAAAAGAACTCGGCCTTCCACTGCTCGCGGAAAGAAGGAAACTGACCAGACTAGTTTCATTACACGCTTTGTATTTTCAGGCCCCTTTAAAGAGAGAATTGTACTGTCCTGCGGCTCATCACATTTCTCCTCGTACAGACCATTCTCAGAAAGTTCACCTGGTAACACCAAGGACCAACTTTTTTAAATTCTCTCCACTGCAATTATCACTTTCAGAATGGAACTCTCTGCCAGAACATATTGTTACAATTCAAGACTCATCTGGATTCAGAGCTGTACTTGCTACTTTTTTCGATATTTAGCAACCTTTAACCCTTTGTTTTTCCTTTCTTCGTTTGTTTTTGTTTGCTGTCAAAGCCCCCCTTATGTAAAGCCCTACGGGCGCTTTAAGGGAACAATAAATGAAATGAAATGAAAATGAATACAGCATGCTGCAACATAGTTAATCGGAACAATTTTCTGATCCTGGGGGTCGCCGCCAACTTACGATAGTTCTCGCCCCTATCATGTCCGTGTGCTCTAATAAGTCGTTAGATTGATTAAGCTATCACCTCCAAATTCTATTTTCTACCGAAAACTCTCGACTAAGCGCATTGATTGACTGTCAGACACAGCAGTGTTAATATATAGAGGGTATTTACCGATCACGCCACTGAAGCCGCACCAAAAGGTAAAATTTCCTTTTGGCTGCCGCCTTCTCTTACTCCGTCTACGGGAACTTCACCCACGCTGGACCGAGGCAATCGATCATTGCCTCCGTCACGTCCACCAGCACGCGACTAACACTGCACTGGTGAATTGCAATGTTTTCATCGCTTGCCACTGTGCCCTGGAAGCCGCCAGCGGCATAAAAACGGGATATGGATATGGATTATGGATATGGATATGGTGGCTTAACCCTTTGTATCGGGCGATCACAGTTTTAACAAAACTAAATCTAGCCAAAAAAAAAAAAAAAAAAAAAAAACCTAAATTTGATTGCCATTGCCCCCCACCCTCCTCACAGTTTTCCCCCACCAGTCCTCCAGTCTTCGCTTTGCGATTTCAACCACCCCGAGGCCGCCGACATCCCCCCGCTGACTGCGCTGGCCACCATGGTCTCGACTTCCCACTTCATTGATGCACGTCGTCTGCGTCGTCTGCCCCTGCCCTGTCGATGGTGTCGGTCCCAAGTCCAACCTTTTCAGACCCAGTGCAACCGCATAATCCACCAGATCTGGTGGCATCAGCGGTCTCAGCTCTCGGCACTCCATTATGATATGTTCAGCTGTCTCCTCCTGCTGGCCACATAGCTGGCATGTACCGTCCATCCCCGGTGTGTACTTGGACCTCAGGTGGCGTGTCCTCAACACTCCACTTCGTGCCTCGCACAGCAGCCCACTGCCCCTCGAGTTGTCGACGAAATCCATGCCCACAATGCTCTTCTTTTCCGCACCGTAGACGGCGAGGGACGGCCGCGCGCCTACCGCGGCGACCCATCTGGTCGTTTCTGTCTCCTTCACGCGTTCCCGCACCTGTTTCGCCGTCCCCGGAGATTCGACCTCGCACAGCAGCACCCGTGGCACGTCATATCGCTCCGTGAGCTTGTTCACTCTCCTTACCCACCGGGTGTTGATGCTTCGAAGGTGGATGTACTTGAACACCTGGCGAGCCCATCGTTGTTCCGGCAAAGTGCAAAGCCGCCGCTCGAAAATCAGTTTGCTGCTGGCCTCACGGGCCTCAAAGCAGGACCAACCCATGTCGCCCTGGACGTACTCACTGGTGGTGTTTCGGTGTGTTCCCAGCACCAGGCGACCCACCTCTCGCTGCCTCACTTCCAGATGTTCTCGTGTACGTGCCGACAGGCACAGTACGGCATTGGCAAAGGTCAAACCCGGCACCGCCACCATTTTCCAGAGTGCCCGCACCGTCTCGTATCGGCTGAAGCTCCACATTCCCCTGCATCCCAGGTAGCCCTTGCGTTTGTTCGCCGTGGTCCGCAGCTCGGCCTCATGTTGTTCAAGGTACTTTCGTCCCGACTGCAGCGTCACTCCCAGGTACTTATATTCGGTCCTCCACTCTATCTCTTGGCCCTGGATGTTCACTCTCTGCGACAGCTGCGTAGAGGCATCCTCTGTTTCCTGTTGCTCCACCCCCGCCCCAAGGACTCCAGACTTGCTGGGGTTGAACGTTAGCCCCAGGGTGGTTCCCTCTTTTCCACAGATGTCCAGTAATTCCTGAAGTTCCTCCAAGGACCCTGCCATAAGTACCACGTCATCTGCATAAATCAAGGCAGGGATCCTCTGATCCACTTGCCTCCCCTCTTCACCGTAGCACATCCTGAAACCCAAGCGACTGTCCTCCAGTGCTCTCTCCAGTCCTGCAATGTACAACATAAACAGAAGTGGTGAAAGCGGGCACCCCTGTCTTAGTCCTTTTGTGGCCTTTATGGGCTCGGTGAACTCTGCCCCCCACTGAACCACTACGCTGTTGTCTCTGTATATCTGTTGGAGCAGGTCCCTCCATTCCATCGGTATTCCCAACTCCTCCAATACCCTCCAGAGCAGCGAATGGTTCACAGAGTCATAAGCCTTGGAGATGTCCAAGAAACCGAGGTATAGGGGCCTCTGCTCGTGGTTGGCGATCTCCATAGCCTGAGTGATTATGAACAGGTTGTCCTCCAACCTCCTTCCCCTGCGAAATCGGTTTTGGAGTTCCCCGAGTATGCCCTCATGCTCAGCCCAGCTCTGTAGGCGCTCCTTCAGTACATGCATGAAAATCCGGTAGAGCACCGAGGTCACTGTTATCGGACGGTGGTTTTTCAGGATGAGCTTGTCTCCTTTCCCCTTGTATAGCATCCTGATCCGGGATCTTTTCCAGTCCTCCGGTATGTCACCTGTTTCCATCACACAGGAGAGACCCTCTCGGAGCCGTTCCCTGGACTTTCCTCCCATTTTCTTCAGAAGGCCTGCTGGAATGTCATCTAGACCCGTTGCCGTATGACCATCCATGCGTTGCATGGCCCTGTTCAACTCGCCCTGGGATATAGCTCGGCGCTGTTGGGTACTTCTCGTGCTGTCCCTCAGGGGGTCACTCCGTCTTACTGCATCTGGTTGTTCGAAGCTCTCCGTCATTGCCAGAGCGATGTGCCGGATACATTCCTGTCCAGTCAGGACTACTCCTCTTGTGGCATCTCTTATTGTTGTCGGTTTAGGCTCTGCCCATCTCTCTTCGCCCCTGACATGTTGCCAGAACTTTCTTGGGGCATCTCTGCCACTGCTTCGCAATTCCTCAAGCAGTTGTCTGTCCACCTTCTTCATCTTTCTTTGCACCATAGTCGAGAACTCAATCTTTTTTTCCTGGTATTCTTCCCATGCTTTGAGAATATCCTCTCTCTGTGCCTTCATTTTGACTGCTTCACCGTGCTTCCTGGATGCTGCTCTCCTCCGGTTTCTTGCCTCTTCCACTTCTGTGTCCCACCATCTCTTTCTCCTTTGTCTCCGTTTTCGGTGTCCACTCCTTATTCCCTTGACCTTTGTAATCCACTTGCACATCCAACTCACCACGTCTGTGTACTGTCGTATGGGTTCATCCTCCGCCTCCTTTTCCAGCTCCTCCACCACTCTCTCCATTTCCCTACTGGTTAGCCCCTTGGGTGTCCTTGGCATCGGTGACTGTCTTAATTTGGTTGCCCCAAACTCCAATGTCAGTCGGCGGTGATCACTTCCAAGACTCGCTCCGCCAGTCTCGTCTATTGTCATCTCTGTTAGGTTTTCATATAAAGTTGGAGACATGAGACAGTAATCTATGCATGAGGAACGTTCTCGAACTGCCCATGTGATCTTCCCTTTACTTTTTTCTGTCCCGTTCACCATCACTAGTCCCATTTTTTCCATCCAGCATAGGAGTTCCCGACCCATCTTATCTGTCCTCTCATCCAGTTCCTCTATATGCGCGTTGAAGTCTCCAAGTATGATGATGGGTAAGTTCAGTTCTTCCACGTCCTTCTGTAGACAGGCCAGTTGTGCCTTGTTTGCTTCCTCGGATTTGTTTCCAGTCCAGAGGTACACTATTCCGATTGCCACCTTCTTCTTCCCTATCTTCCCTGTCATCCACAGGTGCTCCACACAGCTTTCCCTTTGTCTTTCCCATTCGCCTGTAGCCGTCCCCAGAAAGCCCACACCTCCCCCTTTTCGCTCCCCACCTCTTCTGTTCTGGCCCTGCCAAGTGAATTTCTCATGTGCTGGTGGTACTTCCGAATTCCTCAGGTGGGTTTCCGCCAGTCCCACCCCCACAAGACTCTCCTCTTCCATTGAAGCGTACTGCTCCTCCCATTTCGCTGCTTTTCTCCCTCCTTGCATGTTCAGGAAAGCCAGAGTTTGTCGCGTTCTCCTCTGTCCCCTGCGTGTTCTCTTTCTTGCCTTTTTCGGCTGCATCCTTATCTCTACCGTTTCCTTTGGTTGTGGATTTTCCACCCCCGCCCCGTCCATCCAGCTGTCCGCATCTGTCAACTCCTCACTAGCTAACTCTTTTTCCTCTTGTAATATGGGGGACGTATTCTCCAAGTCGTTGTGTTTTCTTTTTTCCCGCATGGTTCGTCTTGGGTTTTGTCTGTGTGCCTCTTGTAGCTTTTCTCCTCTCACTGCCATGCCCTTCGCTTTTCCCCTGTGCCCTCTCAATATTGTCTCCCCTGTTGCTGGTGCATCCGTTGGAGCTGTTCCTCGATCTTCTGCAACCTGTGGTGCCATCCTTGTTTCCTGATGTTTCTTCCCTGCGTCCTTGTTTGTGATGCCATACCCTTGTTGACTGGCATTGAGCCTAAAAAAGCCTCAATCTTGATGCCTAGGCTTCGTCCCATCTCTTCTGCTCCCTCACCATTGTGAGTGTCTCCCTGGTCCTCACCAGCAGGTATGTTGACATCCACAAACTCCACTCTAGGGCCCAACCGCTGTGTCATTTCTTTCATGAGTGTGTTCATTTGTATGCTTTTTTCTTTTGTTGGGCCTACACTACTTTCTACTGGAACTGCACATACCACATACTGATGTTCCGGTGACATCTGAACCCACCTCTTCAGTTGTTCTTCCAGTTCATTTATGGCACTCTGTGCCGTCACTTCTCCCCGCATATCCATACTCCCTGCATGGATGACAACCATTCCTGTTCCTGCTTGCCATATTCTGTGATCCCTTTCCGCCCGAGCCATCGTTTCTTTCAGCTGGGCCCCGGGTTTAGTTGCAAAGTAGACCCGCTTGTCATAGTCGACTGCCTTGAGTACCTTTCTCTTCATTTTGTATGCTCCTGTGTCACCCACCACTAATACTCTCCTGTCACTTGTATGGCTCGCTTCCCACGTTTCCCTCTTATCTGCGGCGTTCGCCTCACTGCCACTTCTCTTGGGCTGTTCTGTTTCGATTCTCCCCATCTCAGGAGTGTTGGTGTTCTCCTGCCTCTCCCTTGGCATTAGTTGGCCCCTGTTGACTGACTCTCGTGACTTGTTGTTGCTTTTCTTCTTGCGTGCGCCGTTTTCCGTGCCACTTTCTCTCCTCGCCTTGACCTCCTCACCATCCCGTTGTAGGGGCCCGTTTCCGTCGTCTCTTCTATCAACCGCCGCCTGCACTCTCCCGATTGAGTCAGTGTCGCCCCGTGTGTTTCTCCTCTCTTTCATCTCTGTATTTAGTACCTCCATCAGCCTGGTCTCAGCCACCACTCTTTGTGTCCTTTCATCCTCGAGTTTTGCCGTCATTCTGTTCTCTGCTGCTGTTCTCTCTAACCTTTCTTCCGTGA